ATTTAAATTCTGAATTTTAGAATTTTTAAGTGGATTTAAAGACTATACTACTTAAAATAAAAGTATCATGGGGCGATACTATTTTTCAAATTAGAACCCTTCTTATTTACTAAAAATGATTTAATGGRCAATTTTTCAAAATTTTGTTGTTTGTGAATCAAAATTCTAATGAGTAGTTTTTGAATAAGTAAGATATTTATACTAAGGATAATAATCCTTAATAATGGTTTTATAAAAATAAAAACTTTATTTGATGTTTAATATAGTATATTATACTTGGGTAATTTTTTATGATAAATCAATAGTAATTGCAGATAACTTTTTCAAATCAATTAAGCCCCTTATCTACTAAACCCATTACCATAAACATATTATTCTTAAAACACAAAGTTACATAATTCAAAAACTACTCGCTTGAATTTTGATTTAGATACATAAAAATTCTCGATAAAGAATCTGCTTATTAATAAAAATATAAAAAGGGAGGTTCCTGTTTGAAAAACTGAAGTTTGTATTATCACATGACCACTTTTTAGTGGTAAAATTAGTGGTAAAAAAATATCAATGATTCGGAAAAATGATTTTAATGTGAATTTAAAAATTCCAAAAACCTGAATTGTAATATAATATGCATAGGTAATTTAACAATAAAAATAAAATGCTTCAAAAATCACCCTGTACATTATAAAAATGCTTACGTAAAAAAGTGAAGAGTCATAGTAGGAACAACTTGGACAMTACAATTAATATTTTAAGTCAAAATTATTAGGAGCTAATATTTTTATAGTTGCAAATAAACATATTATAATGAAGCGTTTAGTATCTAATCAGAACAAATTTACAACATTTTAATAGATAAATAAATTAAATAATCCAAAAGTTTACTACCTATCAAACATTTTTATACTTATAAACACCTATATAGATATTTTAGCACGTGATTTGTACATCGAAATAATAAATTACCTTACAGATCTCAGGAAATTAAAGAAATAATCTGTTCTTGAATTTAGGCAATCTCACCTTGTATATAAATATATATAATACACTAATAAAACTAAATTATTAAGATATTGTATAATACCTAATAATTGTTTAAATAAATTGTAAATTTATAAAATGTTAAGAATTTTATCATAGTTAAATATTTTCTAAACTTGTAGAACAAAATTACACTGGAACAGAAAGTATTATAATTAAAAACCATTTAAATATAGTTAGCTTGAAGACAAACAGTTGGAAAATTAAAATATACGAATCTAAATTTGTTAAAGTAATATTTTTACTTAAAAATCTCGATTCACTGCCTGTTACGTTATATAATCAAATAATTTCAAAGGTTAAATTAAATATCTTCGTGTAATCCTAGATAAACACCGAATCTGGAGGGAGTTCACACATAAAACTTAAACGTAAAACTATTAACTATAGACTCCTTCTGCCAATACTTTTGGATTCTGAACGAAGTGATGAATGTATTGATTTTACAATGATGAGTATTTTTTTTTTTGTGTCTGTGTACAGCATAACTAGTCTAAATAATGCTTYAATTTCAAACTTTGGGGGTGGTTTCCAATGTCAAAGTGAATATCCTTGGTGGATTATAGAGGTCAAAAGTAAACATTTTCCAACAGTTTACAAAAAAATCGTGAAAAACAAAAAAAAGTGACAGAAAAACGGGAATTTTTACTCAAAATCAGTTTTCGACCAAATCGATTTTTTAATATGGTTGTAATTTGAAACCTAATCAC